GCCACAGCACCAGCCCTATCACAGTTGTGCTTTTAATCTCTCAAACATCCCTGCTGCACATCAAGTGGGCCATGGGTAGTAATCAGCAATACAACAAAGCCAGCCTTTTCTCCTCAGGTAGCTTTACTAATTTAACTGTTTTGTTTATTCTCATTTTATTTGAAAGGCAGAGAGAGAGAGAGAGACAAAGAGAGATCTTCCATCTATTGATTCATTCCTCAAATGCCCACAGCATCCAGGGCATATTCAGGTCCTGTCCAAGATTCCAGAACTCTCCATCCTTGTCTCCCATGTGAATGGTAGGGACCCAAGCACTTGAGCCATTGCCTGCTGCCTCCCAGAGTGCACACTAGCAGGAAGCTGGAATTGGAAGCAGAGCTGGGACTTGACCCCAGGCACCCTCGTAGGTGATGCAGGAGTCTCAACCAGCGTCTTAATTGCTGTGCCAAACGCCTGTATTCTCAGGTGGGTTTTAAACCACTTTCCATGAACAATAGCTCTTGGCCACCAGTGCCTCCACTGGCAGGTCTATCCCTGAAGGAGTGATTTCTGGTGGACTCTCAGAAATCTGAGTGCCCCAGAATAACTCTGTAGCTCAGTAGTATTTTTTCCTTTCAGTTGCCTTACTGTCAGTACAAGAACCATCTTCAATAAGGATGTTTATTCTCTTTGTGAAATGCATATTGCCCAACTGCTTATGTAGTTCAAACGTTTTGGTCTTAGCTCAGAATGATCTAAACCAAGTTTCTAAATTCTTCAATTAGTCTTAAAACAATTTGAAAGTGGAAATGAAAACGAAGAGCGAGAATATAAAAAACTGGGGATATTTAACACCAGAAATGATAAAACTGGGGTCTGGCATTGTGGTATAATGGGTAAAACTGCCTCATTGTGCTGGTTTGAGTCTTGGTTGCTCCACTTCCGATCCAGCTCCTTGCTAAAGGCCTGGGAAAGTAGCAGAAGATGCCACAAGTGCTTGGACACCTGTGCCCTCTTGTGAGACCTGATGAAGCTCCTGGCTCCTGACTTTGGCTTGTTTTGGTCATTTGAAGAGTGAACCAGTGGCTGGAAGATCTCTCCATCTCTGTGTCTCTCCCTCTCTGTCTGTAACTCTGACTTTCAAAAAAAAATCTATTTAAAAAAAAGAAAAAAAGGAGCTAAAACTGAAAAAAGGATTTGAGCAACAAAGCTCCCTACAATTTTCAGTTAAAGTAACTTAGCCAAGTGGAAAGAAAGCAGAAGAGTGTGGCCTTCTCATCTATTGTTATAGATAATTGTGAGGTTGCCATTAAGTGGAGATTTGGAGGAAGAGAAAGCAAAGCATCAAGGAAGACTTGAAAATACTGGGAAAGAGCATTGCACTGAAACATGTAACCTAGCAGGAGCAAATAGAACAGAAATCTAAGTTCTTAAAGAAGGAAAATTGCAAGAAACTATGACCTTGGCTCCAGAAAGCTTTTGCCTAATGAGATCTAAAAGTAGTTTCTGGCATACTTGCACCAGCAGGAGACTGGCTGCAGAAGCTGGGTAACTGCCAGAGTGCTTGCTCGCCAGTATCCTTCCATTTCGCGGTGGCCATGGGATGTGAAGGAAAAGGGAAACCCTACAAAAGGATGAGCCAAGGGTCACAGGGAACAATGACAGAGGAGTTCTCAGGCAGCAGAGTTGGGGTCTCAGAGGAGAACTCAGCTGGAGGTCTTCATAATGCCCTCCCAGCAGGGTTTCAGAATGGCTGTGGACAGTGACCATCATGTGTGTTCCCCCTTTTCCAGACGAGGGTTTTAATGTGCTGTTGCTTAAACTCTGTGTCTGTGCAATGGGTGTGTGTAGAATGTGGGGTGGGTGCTGGCAGATTACTTTCTAGTTCCCTGGGCACCAGATGACCAGGGTACCTGATGCAGAGTACTGAGTTAGTGGTGCTCCTGAGATTTGAGCTGGAAGTGGTGACAGGATGAGAAAAGTGTGAAGGAGGAATGAAACAGGTATTTGGTGACAAGCAGAGCAGAGTGTCAGAGACTAGTGGGATTGATCAAAATCTGATTCCTTTCCCTTCGAGGTACACGGTTAGTCTGCTCCCTTGAATGCAAATAGAATCATGACACTGAGTTCTAGTCAATGCCTAGGGCTGGAATTGGTGTTTAAGACTTCCAATTTGGCCTCTCCAAATCCTCCCTGAAGTCCTTCAGGCTGCAGAGGGTCCAGTGGGGGAACTCAGTGGCCTCAGGAATGGAAAAGTCGACAGATGAAAGGATCCTGCATCCCTCAATGAGTGTGTGGAGTGGAGCCTCTGTCATGTACTGAAATGACATGGGCAGGGAATAAGCTTTTGTTTTGTTAAATAATTGCATTAACAAACCTTTATTCTGTTGAAATTTTGGGATCATCTGTTATCACACTGAGCCTACTTTGGCCAATGCAGTTATCAAAGCTACATGTAATTAAACATACAGGATGTGTATTGGGTTTAACTATTATACTACAATTTTCCTTCAGCAAGTATGGCCAGCCTTCTGTATACACAGGTTCTACCTCTATGGATTCAACAAACCGTGGATTAAAAAATATTAAAATAATTGCTTCTTTACCAGATATGTGAAAATTTTTTCTTGTTATGGTTCCATAAACAGCACAGTATACCAGCTATTTATCCAGCATTTAAATTGTATTAGGTGTTTATGTAAGCTAGAGATGATTTATAGTACATGGGAGGGTATGCATAGTTTATATGCAAGTTCCATGCCATTTTATATGAGGGGCTTGAGCATCTGCAGATTTTGGGGTCCCTGTGGGGTTTTGGGCCCAATCCCTTACAGATGTCGAGGGATGGCTATAGTTACAGAGGACTTTTGTGGCTAAAATCTCAAGACTAAGGCTGGATTTTTCAAATGTGTCCTTTTCTTCTCATTCTTTGAAGTCAATCACTGACCAGCTATTACTGAGTGTCTGAAACCTGGACGTAGTAGCTATATGACTTGAGACACCTACTAGCTTGTCTGTATTTCAGTTCCTTCATGGTGCTTAGCAAAGCAGCTGGCACATAGCAAGTGCCTGCTAAAGATTATGTTGCCATCTTCATGATCATTGCCATCATCATAATTTGCTATACATCCTTGGTACTGGGATGGTATCATCTTTGTGAGATGTTTGCTTACCCCAGGACCCTTATTTTGAATTGTGTACTTGTTCAGTATGCTCTCTTTCTGTTAAATACTCAAGAGACAGTTTTGATTCCCTCCAATCTAGAAATCAAGAAAACACTAATTATGGGCCGGCGCCGCGGCTCACTAGGCTAATCCTCCGCCTAGCGGCGCCGGCACACCGGGTTCTAGTCCCGGTCGGGGCGCCGGATTCTGTCCCGGTTGCCCCTCTTCCAGGCCAGCTCTCTGCTGCGGCCAGGGAGTGCAGTGGAGGATGGCCCAAGTGCTTGGGCCCTGCACCCCATGGGAGACCAGGAAAAGCACCTGGCTCCTGGCTCCTGCCATCGGATCAGCACGGTGCGCCGGCCGCAGCGCGCCGGCCGTGGAGGCCATTGGAGGGTGAACCAACGGCAAAGGAAGACCTTTCTCTCTGTCTCTCTCTCTCACTGTCCACTCTGCCTGTCAAATAAAAAAATAAAAAAAAAAAGAAAAAAAGAAAAGAAAAAAAAAAAGAAAACACTAATTACAATTGAGGATTTTCCCTGTCTACCTGAGTGTTGTGAGTCGGTATCTGTGTTCCCTTTGGTGGCTCTACGCTGTGAGTGCAGTATTTGTCTGTGCCCTGTGGCAACTGGAGTGGCTAGAATATACAGGGAAGTTAAAATCCCTGTCGGCAGAAGGACCACTCTGTCTAGTGCCACTTCCTGGTTGGATTGACTTCCTGTTGAGAGTCACTTCCTACTTACAGTGCTGGGATAAAAGTGGATACCATTTTACTGAAGGAAGAACACATTCTTCCCTTTTCTAACCTGTACCCAAGGTATGGCACCTAACCACCTCATTCCAGTGGTGTGTAGGCAACACTTGTGAGACCTTCAAGGTTTGGAATCACTTTCCTTCTTTGTTGACTCTTGAGAACAGAGACTGAAATTATTCCAGTGAGGACTTGACCATTGCACACATCATCTGTTTAGATGACTGGCTTACCTGTATGTCAGAGAACCTTTTTGCCCATGCTACTGGTGTGGGCCATCTCCTTGGTACACACTCCTCAGTGATGCTAACTGGCAGGCATACCCACTTATCTTGGCATGTTTTATGGATGACCCAAGCTGCAAACGCCAACATGTACAAGACATATGCTTTCTTCTTTGTGTATTTCCAAGCACAAAAATATGCCTACACACAGGGATATGTGCATACAGACACATGCGTAATTTTTTCTGCCTGGTAGAAATATGCTTCTGTGATGTTTCTTCTACTCCCACACAAGCCCCTCCATAGCTGGCGCATCTCCTAGTTATTCCCATCGACTCCCTCCCCATAGACCTTTTGTGTGCATATTTTGGCACACATTCTCTCGGTTCTGCCTAGTCCCTTTCTCTCCCTCTTCCTTTCTCTGCCTTCCTCCCTCTCCCTCCTCTTCACAACTCTTTAGAAAATTTGTTAAACTATACACTCTTTATTGTTAATGTACATTTATGAAAAATTCTTCACAGTTATAAAAGTGCATGATTATAAAATCATCTCCATACAAAGATTGGCATCTCCCCCTTTAATCCCACCCCTCCCTCCCCCTCCCACCCCCAGACATCAGCACTCTGCAGGATAGTACTTAGAAAAGCAGCTCTGTGGATCGACTCTCCACCTGGTGTGGTGGCAAACATGATGGTGATTTACAAGGGACCTTGTGACACGCCGCCCTCACTTCCTTCTTGCCTCCTTCTGGGGTGGGGAAAAGCAACCGTATTTCTCCAGGTTTGGGAAGATGTCCTTTTGAGGAATGTGAACAGAGATATCTGCTTCTATTTCTTCTACTGCTGGAAAGGATGCCAGTGAGGATGTCTACAGGGAAAACGGGGGTTATAAGTCTTCCTCTATAGTTGAAGAGAAAAAAGCTGTCTTAGGTTATTCAAATTCCATGCATCTGGTTCCTTGAAAGAAGCCATGAAACTCTACAGCCACTCTGGGGACTGATTTCTGCAAGGCTTTCCTGGGAATCTTTGTGGGAAGGGGTGAGCAGAAAATGAGGGTTTTTCTGAGAGTGACCAGAGGCAACTGGTCCAGATTGGTGTGGTGCAGATGTGGAATCTTTTCACAAAGAATGATTTTCTTGGCCTAGACCTTGGCTAGGTAAACTCTGATATCCTCAGGCCCAGCATGAAGAAAGAGTCTGGGATAAGGATAAGGGTCCCAGGCCTAGAATATAATAGAGGAACATGGGGGAACCAGGTTCTCATGAGGATGTCTCCACTATAGAATGCTCTCTTTTGATGTTTTCTGAGTAGCCTACCCCACCCCAAACCTGGTGGGGTTCCATCTTAGTGCATCAAACAATGCTACAGCCAGATGACTGAGTGGACGATGTCAGATAACTGAACCCAGTTTCCAAAGAGATCTCCCCTAAGTCATCAGACAACTAGCATGAATGGAACCTCTCAGGCAAACAAACATAAAGGTGCAGAGATTCCCATCACATACATGTTAACCAGTTGGGGACAAGCTGAATGACGCTTTATGGGAATGCACGTCAACATGACTTTTGGGGTCATCAGGGACATGGGAGCAATTATAATCAAGATTGCTAGATTACTCCAAAAAAGTTGCTTCTGATCACCTGAACAGGACAGTGGTAGTGGTGGGAGAAACAGGGACTCCCTTGGCAGTAGGAACATTGAGTGTTTTCCTCATTGTGCTTTGTTAACTGGGGACTTTTTAGCAGCTGAAGAAACAACTGGTATTTAAAAGCCTTGTAGCCTGCTCAGAAAACTTTGCCATTCATGGAGATCAAGCTGTCCAACTAGATAGGACCGCTGATATCAAGTGGCATTTGGTGCCTTGCCTGGTTCTAGTTCTACACAAAAACATATATATTAACTATATTTCAGCAAACGACAGTCCCCTGTGAGATTATTATAGGTGAATATTGTGCCCCTCTATGGGAAGCTTAACTATTTTATCAGTACAATTATTCTTAATAGTTCCTCTCCAGATACTTTAGGCTGTCAACTTGCCTGCTGGTAGAGATCAAGCAACTTGAGTTTGCCATCCTGGGCCATGGCCGAAGAAGAGAAAGGGGGTGCAGATCTGCTTCAGGTGTCACAGGAACACCCAGATACTGGAAGTGAGAGTCAGGAGCTGCAAGGTTCAAGTCCCTCAGGCCTAGCAAAGTTTCTGGGGGCTCATTTGGTTGGCTAGCTGAGGGACGATGAGCGGGGAAGACTTCGTGGAAGATGATGTGTTATCCTTCTTCATCTGTCTTAGGACTGCCGGAGGATGGGATGAAGGGAGCCTGCTGGGGCTGAGGGCAAGTTTGACATCCTCCGTTTTTATTCTCACTTTGACTGGTCTTGCCAGCATGTTGGATTGTACTTTAAAGTTTCCTTCTCCCTGGCAGAAGTTCTCACTACAGATCTCCCCTCTCCTTTAGTCTCTCTTGCCAACATGACACAGCAGGGCTCGAGTGGGAGTGATTAACGTAGCTTCCTATTCTGCCTCCCAGAGATTTAATATTTTTTTACATGACTGCCAGCATGACCACCAGTTCTAATGCTTTATTTACTTCCTATTCAAATGCTACCTGTGGTGCCCCTGTGTTTCAGAGGCTGCAATTTGTCCTACCTTCAGCCTATCTCAGTCTACACAGCAACTGGGTTTTACTGCCCTTTATTTAACTCATCTACTCACATATTCATGGACGCTGAATTCACAGCCCCACTTCCCAACCCTGCCAAGCATTCTCTTACCCAAGCACCTGGGAAGGCACTGGAAAAAGAATCATGTTGGAATAAAGCCCCAATTTTGCCACTTAGGCAATCTTGAGACTCCATTTTCTCATCTGCAAAATTCCAGATGGGAATTCCAGATAGAATTACTGATGTTCGGTTTGCTTCCTGCACAGAGTTCAGTTGAACAGAGTCAAGGACACCAATGCCACGGCACTTCATTAACTATCCAGTGCTGAAGAGACATGGGGAAGGCAATGACGAAGCCGATAAAACTGGTGAAAAACACGAAGATGACGACAGCATGATGAGCATTGTGCTTTTGCACATCAAGTGACTTGGTTCTTGACCCACTGATTAGGCACAGTTTCCCTGGATGGAGTTTTCTACCACCTTCCTTCCAGGGTTTATCCAGATAACCTTGGGTAAATTTCTCAGCTCTCTATACTTAATTTGCCTGTCAAGTGGGAGTAGCAAAAACCACCAGGTTGGGTTGCCTGAGAATTGAGATAAATAAGCCAATAGATACAAACGTGCCCAGAGGAGTGCCCGGTCCTTATTAGGAACCTCATCAGCACTTCTCGGATTGGAATGTGGATCACTTGAGAAGGGAATATGGTATTCCCCACTTGGATGGGGCAGTGGAAAGAGCTCAGCCTTCCTTTTGCTCATTAAGTGGCACACGACTTTAACCTTCCTGAATCTCGATTTTCTTACCTGTAACCTGGGAACAACAACATTCGCCTCTACACGTGGCGGTGTGTGTTAAAGGGAGTTGTCTGTGGAGAGAGCTTTTCACAGTGCCTAACACTGGCAAGTGCTCAGTAATTAACAGCTCTCTCGCCTTTCTGCTTCAATAGGGGAGTTGCTTGGAAGGTAGTGCAAACCCTCCTGCGGTCATGACTGTGGTGGCGTTGTCCTCCCTTAGCCCTGGGCACTGACACCGAATGGGTGTACTTTCCTGATGAGATCCTTGTGTGAGCACCATGGCAAGAGCAGTCAGGTACTGGAGTCCCAGAGTGCCAGGACTATTGTGCCCCAGTTGCTAGGCCTCCTGCCTCCCTTTTCTGAAGTCAAGGCTTGGGCGAGAGACAGGAGACCAAGGTAGGAGAATGGGCACTGAAGATGTCCATTCTCAGCTGCTGCCAGGAACCTCACCAGCAGGCTGCAGTTGGTGATGAAGTATGGGTGGGGAGGGAGAGGCAGTCACTGGGAGGTGGTCTCACCTGGTGGCTGCATGTAGGAGGCGGCCGTGGCGTGGAGGCATTCTTGCTCTCTGGAGGCAATGGCTGGTGGTGCTCAGGGCTGACAGATTGCATGCCTGAGGGAATGTTTTGGTCCTGTGCCACGCCCCCTCTGTACACCCAAGACGCAAGGAATAATTCACTGTTCTCCCCCTACTATGCATGTTCTGCCCTCTGTCATTTGCTTCTGTTCACCTTCCTTTGCCTACGTGACAAAGTGGACTTTTTTTTTTTTTTTTTTGATGAGTCATCTGACAAATCACACCACTTAGAATTCTCGTGGACTTTGCTAGGCAGAGTTGATGGCCCTGCCTGTGACCTTCCATAACTCTGTGTCTGGTGTACTGACACGCTGTATCAAACGGATCGTTTTGGGCTCTCTCTCCTCTACTAGAAGGAAGTACTTGAGGGCTGGGATTGGATCCGTTCATCTCACAATACCCAGTTCCTACCACAGTGACCGTCCAAAGTAGATGCTTACGCAAAGTTAGTTTCCTGACCTTACTTGAGCCATGATGAGGTGGCCAGGGCCCCATGGACCCAGAGTGGGCAGCCAGGGCGGGGGTCTCTAATGGTCGGCAGCAGTGGCAGTCGGCAGCATGGAGGGATGAGAGGCGCTCATGTCAGATCTCTTCCTCTTCACTGGCTTTGCTCCAACGGTGGCAGCAGTTGGCTGTGATGCCCAAGAGGAAGTTGGTGGCCACGGACGCGATGGAGACGACGAAGCCCACAAATGCGATGAAGAGGTAATCATCCAAGGTCAGGGTCAGGTGGCAGGCTTTGAAGCTCTCCTCGGTGAGTGAGAAGAGGGGAGCACCCTCCACTTCTGGGGGACCCCGGCACTCAGCCAGCTGAGAATCTGCAGCATAGGAACCCAGGGAGAGTGAGCCACTTGGGTGAGAGAGAATCCCCACAACTCCCAAGAAGGAGGAAAAAGGACATTCACTGAGTATCTTCAATGTGTTTTAAGACTTATGTTCCTTGGGGCAGGCGCTGTGGCACAACATGTAAAGCCGCTAAGTGGGTGCTGATTCAGATCCTGACTGCACCACTTCCAACCCAGCTTCCTGCTAATGGCCTGGGAAAAGCAGCAGAGGATGGCCCAAGTGTTTAGGTCCCTACCACCCACGTGGGAGACTTGGATGAAGCTCCTGGCTCCTGGCTTTGGCCTGGCTCAGCCCTGGCCATTTGTGTAGTGAACTAGTGGATGGAAGATATCTCTCTCTCTTTCTCTCTCACCCCCTCGTCCCTTCCCCTGTAACTCTGACAGGTTAGAATGTTTATTTACTATCTATAACCTGTTTATCTAACAGGTTAGAATGTAACCTCCAGGTACATCTTTGTAGCACTGTTTTTATCCATGTGAAAGTCACTGCTTGGAGAGTTTAGGAAATTGCTGTATAGCCAGTGGAAGAGTGGGGACCTTGTGGGGCACCCCTGTCTCTCTCTCCCTCTTTTTTTTTTAAAATATTTTTATTTATTTATATGAAAGGTAGAGAGTTACAGATAGTGAGAGGGAGAGACAAAGGTCTTCCATCCGCTGGTTCACTCCCCAAATGGCCTCAATGGCTGGAGTTGAGCTAATCCAAAGCCAGGAGCCAGGAGCTTCTTCTGGGTCTCCCACACAGGTGCAGGGGCCCAAGTGCTTGGGCCATCTTCTACTGCTTTCCCAGGTCATAGCAGAGAGCTGAATCGGAAGAGGAGCAGCTGGGACTCGAACCAGTGCCCATATGGGATGCTCGCACTGCAGGTAGAGGATTAACCAACTGCGCCACAGTGCTGGCCCCAGCACCCCTTTCTCTTACAGCAGCCTCCCAACTGCATTCTGGGCTTCTGTCCTTACTCTGTTTAAGCACTGAGCACCCTCAGCAGAGCGACCCTTCTAGACCGGAAGTCCTGCAGGGTTGCTCTCTGCTGGAAACGCTCCGCTGGCTTCCCATCTTCACACAGCCGGAAGTCGAAGTCCTTGCTGGGGGCCCCGAGGATGCCTTCCCATCTTCCCTGACCCAAGGCGAGTCCTCCAGAGCAGGGAGGAGGGGGGTGCCAGGGCCTCTCCCCTTGATCTCCGTGTAGCTCTGCCCTTCACTTTCTTTGGGCCATGAAGCAAATTGGCACTCCCATTTCATCTCCCCCAGGCCTCTGTTGTACCTACTCTGCTTTAGTCTTCTCTGCGGAATTTACCACTGTCTGTCTGTTTATCATCTGTCTTCTCCTTGAATAGACGGTCCTCCCCTGGTGTCCTTCATATCAGGGCAGTGTCCTGTGCACAGGGAGTGCTCAGTGAGTCTGTTCTACGAAGACAGGCGCCCGTCTGACTGCAAAGCACTGGATCTTTCTACTGACCCATTTGGCTTTTCCAGATGTGCAGTTTGGAGTCAAGAGCATGGACTCTTGGGGTTGGCACCTATGGTGTGGTAGTTTAAGCCTCTGCCTGCAGTGCGTGCCGGCATCCCACATGGGTGCTGGTTTTTGTCCCAGTTGCTCCTCTTCCTACCCAGCTCTCTGCTATGGCCTGGGAAAGCAGTAGAAGATGGTCCAAGTCCTTGGGCCCCTGCACCTGTGTGGGGAGCCGGAAGAAGCTCCTGGCTCCTGACTTTGGATCAGCCAGCTCTGGCTGTTGCGGCCATCTGGGGAGTGAACCAGCGGATGACAGACCTTTCTCTCTGTCTCTCCCTCCCTCTGTCCGCAACTCTACCTTTCAAGTAAATGCATAAATAAAATCCTTAAAAAGATAAAAGAGTATGAGCTCTCGATCCTCGCCTGGCTGTATGATTGGAAATTAGTTTTTTTTAACCCTTCTATGTCTTGGTTTCTTGATAATAAGCAAGGATAATAACAGCATCTACCTCATAAGGTTGTGGTGATGATTCAGTGGGTTAATGTATAAAGTGGTGTGGTACGGTCCTGGTGTATATGAAGCACTATGCAAATGTGAGGTTTTATCGGTATACAGGCCACTGGGGGGGGGGTTGTATTCTGTAGCCGAGGGCTGCTCCTCTGGCGGACTGCTATTTTCTCCAGCATTGAAGCTCCCACCCAATTCTTCCAGGCATTTATAAATGCCTCATGGGTTGTCAGCGGTCTTATCTTATTCTCCTTGGAAGTCAGAGTGGCAGTTACGCCACTGCAGTATGAGGCCTGGCCAGTCACATCTCTGTTCAGTAGATAAACATTCTAAGCTCTCACCTTGGACAACTTTTTATTTTTTTGCCTTTCTGGCTCTCTTGCTCTGCCTCTAAAGCAGAGGATAAAACAACCTAAGTTTTCTAAGAGAATCAAGGTGATCTATAAATGCTCTGTGTTCATCTGGTGGTTTTTCCAGGCAGAGAATAAAATGATGGTTGTGGTTTGATTCTTTTGAGAAGTGAGTGGAGGGGCATTGTTATCCATGGACATGGAATATCAGGCTTGGAGGGGAGGATGCAAACTTCTGCAAGCCCTGAGTGTGCACAGGACCCAGACGTGCACAGCACGTTGGCTTGCACAGGGCTCGAGGCTCTCCTCTGAAAACCAGAGGATGCTGAACCCCAAAGTCTCTGAGTGTCTGGGGGTAGTAGTGGCGAGACAGGGAGACCTGGCTGCTATGGAGTAACCCACGTGGGCTAGCCAGAGGAGACTGGGACACAGCTGGCAGGACCACACAGCATGCTGATGACAGCCTGGGGCTCACAAAGCTCTTTGCTGAGTCAGGGAACCAGTCTTCAGTCAGGTTTTTATCCCAACGACTTCCTTAGGATCCTCTTAGTCCCCCTGTCCCCTCTCAGAAAATACAGATTCTAATGAGAATTCCAGGAGAAAGAGAGAGAGAGAAAGTAACAGAAGCAGGCCTAAGGGAAGTGTGTCACCTAGTCCTATCCACACTGGGAGGATTTTGTGTTTCCTCCTCCCAAGAGACCTCTTAGGGGGTGCCCTGTGGAGGAGCAGGCACCTGGGGTTCAGGCTCTGGCCTGCTGTCTTCGTCACTGTGGCCTGTGGACAGTCATCGTCTCTCCCTGGAGCTTGGGTCCCTCCCTGTCTCAGGACGAGGCTGCATGGACCATGGAGCCCCCTCCCACTTCCCGGGCAGTGGGGACCTCGGAGGTCCCAGAAGAGGAGGAGTCTCCAGTTGTGATGGCAGCTTCGTGCCTGCGGGGCCCTTTCTGTCTAGTGCACGGGAGAGACAGGCAGACACCAGCCTGCAGAGGCTGAGCGGTGGGCGATTGCTCCAGGCAGCCTCCCCCTCCCGCCCCCCACTATCACCCCATCTCCATCTCCAGCTATTTTGGTGCCAGAGTACTTCCTCCCACAGCTCTGTGGAGACACTGGAATCGTGACCCACAGCCCCCACTCCCCCCCAGACTATTTTGGTCTTGGGCGCCCCACTCAGCTCTCCTCCCCCTCCTACCTCATCCGGTGTCACTTTTTCTGAACACACAGAGCCCAGCCTCTGGGGAAGCCCCTGGGACAGTACCTCCAGCTACTCCTGTTTTTGCTTTCCTGCTGGGTGCTTGTGCCAAGGAGGCTCCGTGCCATCACAGAGAGGGGGCTGCTGTCTGGGGCTGAGCTTTGCCTGCCTCTGGGTCAGATTTGACACTGCCACGTAAGGCCGAGCCCTTCAGACCGTGCGACTTCGTCACCATCAGGCCCAATGCATTGGAGTCAGCTGGTGCAGCAGCCATATCCCAGCTCCTCTGTCAGCTCCCCGCTCTTTTCCCAAGCCTCAAGACTCTGCCCGGGCCCTCTGGCCAGCCCGGATTTCAGGCAAGCCCTGATTCTCCTCTTGGCCCAGAGCCTGACTTCAGGATCCACCTCCCCCACCCCCAAGTTCGAATTCTGACTTAGTAGCTGTGTGACGCTGGGCAAGCTACTGAGCCTTCCTGTTTTGGTTGCCTCCTTTGTGGAGTGGGGACCTCATTAGGGTTCTTGTGAGGATAGGATGGGCTAAAGCATGCAACATGCTTAGATTAGGGTCTGGAAGATAGGAAGTATTAGAACGCAGTGTTAGTCATTCCTATTTCTCCGAGAATTTTCCCTGCACTTCAGATGCTTAAAAAGCAGCCCGGTAGAGAAGAATAGGGCTTAGAAGTCAAATAATTCTGGAGCTTATCTACCGCCCTGCTACTCTGTGAATGAGTGGCTCTGAGCAAGTCTTTTCATCGTGCTAAATCTCAGTTTCTTTACCTGTAAAATGGGTTCATAACAAAGAGGATCCAATGAGTAATGCATGCCAAGTTCTCATGGTGAAAAGCTAGGCCAACATGACCCACGATTACCCATTCTCACTTCTCCACTGGCTGCCTGCCTCCTTAGGTGGTAAGTGCCCCAGGGAAGGGCATGTCTGTTTCATTAACGAGTGGGGTCCCAGCGCCCAGCCTGCATTGCCGGGACTCAGCAAATCCTTGTTAACAGGAAGAGCTGGTGTATGGGAGGCAAGCACAGATCAGGGTATACAGTAGGTGCTCCAGAGCTCTAGGACCCCCCTCTTCTTCTTTGGAGACTTTGTTACTGGGGAGCGAGCCCTCCTCTCTGGCCACCCAGACCTGCCCTCTCCCTTACCCGCTGTGCAGCGCTGGATCCGGTTCCGCAGCCACTTCAGCAGGGGCTCCATGGTGCAGCCACACACCCAGGGGTTGCCTCCTATCTGCAGGGTCACCAGCCCGGGCAGGCCCTCCAGGGCCTCGAGGCTGAGGAATGCCAGTCCCCCATAGCTGAGGTCCAGGTCTCGGAGCTGCAGGAGGCCCTGGAAGGCCTGGGGGTGCACCCTCCGCAGCCACGGGTTGTGGCTCAGGTCGATGTGCACGAGTGCATGGGCCTCCTGGAACATGTCAGCTGGCACATGGCTGAGGTTGTTGTAGCTGAGATCCAGGTGTGCCAAACGCTTGGCGTGGAGGAAGAGGCCCGGGGGCAGCTCCATCAAGGAGTTGTTGCGCAAATCCAGCACTCGGAGCTCCATGTAGCACGTGAGGTAGCCGGGGGGCACGGCCGCGATGCGGTTGTGGGCCAGGCTGAGGTTGCGGGTGTCCATCGGCAGGTCCGGGGGCACGGAGAAGAGCCGCTGGCTGCTGCAATCCACCACCTGATTACGACACGTGCAAAGGACTGGGCAGCTGGTGCCGGCATCCGAGTGCATCAGGCCAGCTGCTAGGAGGAGGGAGATGAGCAGCATGGCTGGGTGAGCGGGCCCAGGCCACGGCAGCTGGGTTCAGGTGTCACCCGTCTCAGGCAGCTGCCAACAGCAGTACTGAAGGGAGCTCATGGAGGTTGTGTCCATGGAACCGAGAGTCAGTGGCACAGGAAGGCAGCTACATCAGGGGCCCGAGCCACAAAGGTGGGGCTTCTGAGCACGTGGGGTCATGGCTCAAGCCTCTCCTGGAAGCCTCTAGGGGCCAAAGAGCTTCCTGAAATGGGTAGGAAGTGGCCTTTTGGAGCCCAGGGAGGGCAGGCAACCCCACCGAGGCCCCCCAGGGGCAGAAAAGATGTTCAGCACTTGGGGAAGGAAGGGGGCCAGGAAGGTGCTGGCCCAGCTGCCAGCAGGTGTTGGAAGGGTCCCTGTTGATCTTCTGTGTGCCTCTGGCCCATGCCTGCCGGGTGCTTCCTCTCGGCTCTGTGTCTGAGAGGTGGGAGGGGAGCAGTGAGGAAGATGAAAGGTGCCTCTTCTAAGAAAACTCAAGCCTTGCCTGGTAGCGACTAGGAAGCAGGGCGGTGCTTGGGGCTGCAGCACTCACAGTCTCAGAGGCCATGTCTCCTGGTGACCTCGTGGGCTTGAGTTCAAGGGGCCCCAGGGTGAGCGATTTGGAGAGGAAGCTCAGGGGAGTGTCGTTCTCCACGGGCCTCCTGGAAGCCTGAGACTCTTTGGATTCTGTGGCTTCTGGAATCCCCAGGGAGGGGAGGACCCCAAGTGACACCCACTGCCTGGGCCACAGCTGAGGCGGGAAAGAGCCATGAGTCCCGGAGGTACAGGCTGGGAGTCAGCCAGGAGGGCTGGGGCTGCTTCTCCAACCAGTGGCTCCCTCAGAACAGCGCCGCTGGCAGCAGGTGGAGGCAGATTTCACTCTGTCAACAAGGAAAGCACTCAGCAGAGAAAACCAGTGTCCTGGGCAGCCCTGCCGCTCACCTGCATTGCAGCCCCACCCTCTCCACTTCCTTCTCTTCCCCCCAACACAAAGTTCTCTGTGTTCTGTCTCCCAGGGGTGGGCTATGGGGCGCTCCGGCCCCCTCCTCTATGGTTGCCTCCACTGACCTCCCTGTCCCAACCTGCAGCTGGTTTCCTCTTTTGTTTGTGCCCTGGGCTGGAGGCGTCTGCTTCTCCTCAGAGCCTCACCCTCATCAGCACCCGACACCCCACCCTAGCGAGAACGCGTATCCACATTCTGGCCGATTGTACATCCCTGTGAAACCCTCTCTGCCTGTCTCTCTCTCGCACACAACATTCTTCTATGACTCCCCCATACCCTCCCCTGCCCCAGGGTCCTGCCTCCCCACCCCTGCACCTCGCCGACTTCCTCTGCACACACACTCCAGCAGAACCCCCTCCCTGGTCTGCCCCCACCGTCTTTCAGCCTCAGCACACAGCCCTCATCCCAGCATCCTTTTCCACAAACACTCCCCACTCCTGCCGCCCCTCACTGCCCTGCCGGAGTCCACATCCACACTTGGTTGGGCAGAGGGGCGGAGAGCAACCACGCAGTCGGCACCCCAGCCCTCAGTGGCCCCTCACCTCTCCCCTGCCCACCTTCTGTGTTCCCTTGTCCTACCCTCATCCCCCTCAGATCCAGCACTGCTTCTTTCCTTCACTGTCTCCAGCCTCCATCCCACCCACTGGGAAATCACCCCAGATCCCCTTTAAGCAGCCTCTTTTCTCTGAGCCCCAAGGTCTCCCCGTGCACACCCACAGGCCCTCGTGAGCCTACTCACTCCGTTGCAAGGACACAGCCATCAATCTGCGGCAGACGCGGTCTCCTCCCTCATCCTGGAATCCCCGCTCACTCGCTCGCCGGCTCGCTGGCTGGCTTCAGAACAGATTGCTCTCCCGGCTCTTCCCCTCCCCCGGCCTCTCCTCCTCCATGTCTCCGGGATCCCTGGGCAGCATCTTCTGTGGTTTCCTATCCTGTGGTCCCCGTCGCCCTGCTTTGACCCAACAGGGGAATGTGAGAGAGGATGTTTAGAAGAAAGTTCACAGAATCTGAATGCTTCTTTCTGAAACTCAGGTTGTGCTGAGGCTGCCTGGGTACTCGGCTTCCGCCTGAGCCAGGTCTTCCCCTCCCTCTCTGCTCCCTCCCTCTTCCCCCTCCCTCCATCATTCCCCCTCCACACTCCCTTTATCACTCCCCTTTTTTTCCTCGAGGGCCAGGTACTGACGTTTCACTGTCTCTTAGCAACTGCCTCCACAGCTCTGAGCAACAGGAGAACTGGCTTTGGACCCCACCAAGATGAGAGAGAAGGAAGCACTCAGCAGAATTCACAGCCACCCACAGGATCCTAGTGGCAGGGCTAGGGGAAGAAGGGGAGAGGAGGGCAGTCAGGCACAGACAGAGACCAGAGAGAGGAGCAGGTAGAGCAGAGAACAAAGGCGTCCAGTGGGAGAGGCTGGCGTGGGGCAAGGTGGGGGTCTGGATGGAGAACAGAGAGCCTAGGGGCATCAGACCAGAAGGGAAGACACAGGGGGCTTGGAAGGGAGAAAAGAGCTTCATGGATGGGGTGGGGACACTGAACACTTGATTAAGGGTGGAAAGAAGAGGAGTCCATGTGATTGGTTGGCTTGCAGGGTGGGATAGATCCTTGGAGTCCTACCTCCTGTTTATTTCCCTGGGTCTGAAGATATTTCAGTCTCCAGGTGGCAGGTGAGTGGCTCAGGGCTGGGGTGGGGTGGGGGATAGCACTGGAGGTGAGACTTTGTCTCACTTCCTTGATTGCCCCTGTGTCCTGGCCCCATGAGCTCTCTGAGGCTAGGAGGCTTGGGTGGAGTAGACCCATTTCCCCTTGGCACAGGATCTGAAAGCCTTTCAAAGACAAAAGATGACTGCTGGTCCAGGTGGTGTGCAGGGGGCTCTATAGACACTTGGAGCTGACTCTGGAGGGGTGGAAGTTTGGGATCCATTCTTTCTCCAGACCCCTGGGACCCTGCTGTTGTCCTGTCCCTGTCTCTCCAAGCTTCTTGTTCCATACCCGCCTCCAGAATGACTAAGATGAGGGTGGAATTTTTGCAACCTCTGTCTTCTTGCAGATTCAATGGACACGTGTCCAGCTGTCGTGAATTTTAAAAACCGATTTGGCTAAAGAGCTGGCTTATTTCTTTGATTAAGTAGTTTTAAGCACTCTTGGTGTGCTGGGTACTTGGCTAGAAGGTGGGGTTTCATGGCCTCTGGAAAGGACTGTGCCCTCGAGAGGTTCATATTGGCCCTGTGCTTTCATTCAGTTGTCCTTGGGCCTCTTGCATTGAAATGATATCTTGGGTGTTTGGGGAAAGCAAAGTGGAGGAATGGAAGACAACAGATTCTGGCATTTGCAAAGTTCTCAAGAATGCTCCCTGTGTGGTTACAGAACAGTGGCTGTCCCTATGCACTCTCACCTGTGCTGACTGGAGGCGATCATGCAACATGTAACTTCATCAACATTTCTATGCTGAATTAACTGGTGTCAATGTGCTTTTCACTCCTTTCCTCAATTAAAGAAGGGAATGGTTGTTCAATCTCATTGATGAGCTTAGAAATAAAATTGCAATCTTAACCCAGAAAATACAACAGTGCATCGAAACATGTAATTCATTCTAACTAAGGACCCTTGGCTTTTCTTTCTTCGTTTCTTTCTTTCTTTTTTAAAAAATATTTATTTGAAAGGCAGAATTAGAGAGAGAGAGAGAGGGAGAGGCAGAGGGCAGAGATCTTCCATCTGCTGGTTCACTCCCCAGATGGCTACAACGGTCAGGGCTGTGACAGGCCAAAGCTAGCAGGTAGAAGTTTCATCTGAGTGGTGCAGGGGACTAAACACTTGGACCATCTTCTGTTGCTTTTTCAGGTGCATTAGCAGGGAGCTGGATTGGAAGTGGAGCATCTGGAACTTGAACCAGCACCCATATGGGATGATGGCTTAACCTGCTATGCCACAGCACCAGTCCCAAGCATCATGCTTTATTAGCATGATCTAGAGAATGATGGAAAGCCTGAATGGACTCAAAGAAGGCTAAGAAATGTGTTCAGCCTGATTCAGTATCTAATGTAGACTAAAAGCACTCTCAAAAAAAGAGAATGACAGTTTTCTTCATTTGCATGATATGAAGCTTATATTTACAATTATAATCAATAATAGTAGTAAATAAAAACACTAGTGACAAATATTTAAGTAGGATCTAGGTGAGAATACCTTACTACCAGGTGAAAACTTTGTTTTTCTAACCTTTAAGTGTAGATTATAGTAACAGCATGTAACTGGTGGGGTCATTTTTGGTACATGAATTGTCATTAAAGAAATTCTCAGAACAGTACATGGTGAGCAGTACAGGTGGGCTTTCTAAGCGAACAAATAAACAGGAGAATATAAAATTGCTGAATTAGGTGTCCAGAAAGGACAATAAATGAACTGCACAAAAATAGGAAGCAGAGGAAGGAAAAATGTGACAGCTGCAGGTGGTTTGAACGGATTCTTATGCAAGGTAAGAGGCAAAACCTTCAGGAAGTCGCAATGTAGGATTATTATCACTGCACAGAACATCTTCTGTCAAAGTGCGACTCAATGGGACAGAGCTACCTTAAGTGATTTTTACCTTAAATCATTGCACGAAATACTGTGGGACCCTATAAACATCAAGGTGCGCTCTTTGCCACGAGAAAACATTTCTTCTCAAGTAAGCATGAGAAACAATGACTTAAACAAAAGGGAACACACACATTTATTTACTTATTTATTGGAAGACTCCTCAGAGGCTTTAAGTACACGTGGTCGTGGTGAGTCTGCAGTGTGAACACTGGGGTGGATAAGGGTATACAGCATCCAGCATTTCCTGTAACTTATTTTGCATCTTTATATTCTTTTATCTTTTGTTCCCCTTCCTGTGCATCTGTGCTTTCTCTCCCTCTCCTTCCTCTTCTCTCTGCTTCCTTCTTTCTTTTGTCAGAACTGTTGGTTTTCACTGGAGCCTAGATTGGGAAATACTGAACTTCTATCCTTCGTTTAAATGTCTTCATTCTGGATTTGTACCCCCATGTTTGTTGCAGCTCAATTCACAACAGCCAAGCTGTGGAATCAACCCAGACGTCCACCAACTGAAGACTGGATAAGGAAATTATGGTATTTACACACTTATACAGTATGGCACAGCAGTAAAAAAAAAAATCCTGTCATTAGCAACGAAATGGATGCAACCAGAAATCATTTTACTTAGTGAAATAAGCCAGTTCCAAAAAAGACAAATACCAGATGTTCTCTCTGATCTGTGATAACTAATAGAATACCTAAAAGGTAATACATAGAAGTGAAATTGACACTTTGAGACGTGACGATTTTGAACAGCTCTTGTTTCCACTGTTGAGGAACTATGTTTTTTTTCCTTCATACTATTTGTTGAACTCTTTACTCAGTGTAGGGTTAATCTTATGAGTATAAAGTTAAGTGAAAATAGATCTTTGTAAAAAAATTAAGAATAGGAATATGAGAGGGAGGACAAAGAAGGGTGGGAGTACAGGCAGGAGGGAGGTAGAGCAGGAAGAACCACTGTGTTTCTAAATGTATATATAAGAAATGCATGAAGTTTATATTCCTTAAATAAAATAAAAATCTGGATCTACTCCAAAAAAACACCACAATAAATGTCTTCACTCTAACACTTGCAATTGGTTTCTATAGAAATCATATTTTTACACAAAAAATGAAAATTGTATCATTTTAAGGGAGTTATTATGTCCATAAATTAAAATAAATCCACATTGAGACACCATGCTGGGTGGCTGGCTGCTCCCCTCTGCAATGTAACTTTCTTCTGTACAGCAGCCTTGCAGTGGATACAATTTTGAACCCCAGCAAAATGATCTATTATTATGTGTCATGGCCTTTTGGGGTCTCTTGCAAGTTATTAAAACTGTGACTGTTCCATCCGTGAATGTCAAGGATTTACTCTCCTGGGAAAATACAAAGAAATCAATCAAAGAGTTGGAGAAAATGAAATGGGTTGAAAATCATGTTCATTATTATGGTTTCCTGAAAGCAAGGCAAATTGGCTGTAATGAGGACAGAGCACTTTAAATACTCAGATTTAATTTAATCTACCACGTAAGAAATGTATTCAGGGAAAATAATGAAACCTTAGTAGAGTGAAGATAGAGGAAGAAATGGAGAGCTAATCTCTCTCATTGCTGGGCAAGTTTAAAAATAGGAATGATGACCCTCTATGTTTTAATAACTGAATGAAGTATTTAGCAGAATCTGGTGAATTGGTAGTGAAAGCCATCTGGGAAAAGAATGTACAAATCATGTTTAAAAGATGCTGCTGCTGCTGCTAGGAGTTGCCTGAAAGTAATGATGGTGTTTTTCCCCTAACTAAAAGATTGAAAACTATATCATGGGAGCGGACATCTAGCCTAATGGTTAAGGTGCCTTTGTTCTACACTGCTGTACCCAGGTTTGATTCCAGGCTCCACACCCTGAATCCAGCTTCCTGCTAATGTAGACCCTAGGAAGCAGCAGGTAATGACTCAAGTAATTGGGTCCTTGCCAATTATCTGGGAAACCTGAATTGAGCTTTAGCTTTGGCTGGGCCCAGTCTTGCAGGCCTTTGGGAAGTAGGGAGCTCTCTCTAGCTCTGTCTCTGTAACTCAAATAAATAAGAGAATAATAACTGAAAACCACTCAGTGACATTTTTTGACACTTGGGCTTTGAAAAATGATGATGGGATAGACTATACTTTCAGGAAGCGGTTTTCACTTTTGGAACGTATGATATGAAAACTGGGAAGTAAAGCAACATTGAAAATAACCTCAGAGTAAGAAACATTATGGAGTCAATAGTGCCATACTGCATTTTTCTTCATTGTAAACATTTCAAACGATTCAAAGAAAGAAAGAAACAATAATAAGACACAAATCAGAAAGAGTATAGAATGGCACATTTACTCCAGCTGTGGAGAGAGAAGATATCTTTCTGTGTATTGAGAAAATGGACAATGTCATTAGTGACAAGATGGCTCTTGTCAAATAAATGACATTAAAGGACAACAAGACTTTGCTGAACAGAAATTGATAAAACAAAACCAGAGAGAGAGAGAGAGAGAGAGAGAGAGAGAG